ATATTTATTTTGATTATGCTCTATTTATTTATATATACTTATTTTTATTTTTATTTTATTATTCTCTATATGATATCTTAAATTTTCATGAAAGATTACAAGATCTGAAGTCTGTAAATAACTTTTAACTATATAGAAGATAATGTAGATCAATAGAGATGCTAAAAAGCATACTCTAAATAATATTGTCATATTGTCCTGTAGACAAAATAATCTTAGACAATTTTACATTATTTTGAGAAAATATTGAATTATTGATGAAAATCATATCCAATTGGTTATGATCAATTCCCTGAAGTGAATGTGATATACAAGTAAATGGTTAAAGAGGTTATTGATTTTATATTGGAATTCAATTCGAGATAGATGAACCTGAAGTATCATCATCTCGAGGGGGAGAATGGATGAATCCCACAATCAATAATAAATGGAACATCTAGAAGATTATGTTCACACTCAAAAATAAACTTGATCATTGATCAAGAAAAGTGTAAGAATCCCAAACTCATAATCCAGAAGATTATACTCAAAAATGAGTAATCTTGATGAATCATATATAAAGTAATTCCAAGGAATTTCAATATACAATAAATGAGGAAAAGTTAAATAGATGTCATATAGTAAACCAGAAGTTTGCTGAATCTAACATAATTCGGCATGAACTGGTTAGACCATTCCAGTTTAAGAATTATGCGAAGTAAAATACAACATGTAAACATTTATTGAAGAACTAGAAGATTCTTCTTAATGATTTCTAATGTGATATTTTATCATAAGAGATTATGATAATACAACAATTATCACTAGCCAAAATAGATTTTGATTCAATTCATTTTCTAGAGAATATACAAGAAACGTGTGGTTTAATAACCCATTTTGTGGACTAGTCATCCTCTGTAAGAAATTTCATTGTGTTTTGTAATGCATCAACAAAATAGTTGTATGTATCAATGAAATAAATTTGCAACCTGAAGTTTGCAAGATGACTTAGTAATGCTAGTGAAATCACATCTTAAGTCTATGGTGAAAGAAAAACATGTTTGTAAGAATAAATGTTGAACATTCAATAGAAAATGTTCATCATTGGACATAATGCACAAGCATTAACTCGCATAAAGCCAACAAGTAACTAAAAGTTCTCCCCATCAAAATTAGTTTTGGGTCAGAAACCTTTGGATGTGCAACATCCACATTGCTCCACCACAGCAATATAAGATGGATCTTCAAAAGAGATTGTAGATGTTGGATATGAATCTCCATTGATAATATCTAGAGCTATCCCTGAAGGATTTAAGTAAGGCTCAATTCATAGACTACCATGTTAATGGATAAGTCTTTCCAACATCAGGGGGAGAAACAAAAGGCTGGAAAGAAAAGTAGTTTGAATGAATTATCATTGATCCTCGGACTATAGAATGAGAAATAGAAGTCCAAAAGATAGTTCATTCACAAAACTTATTGTATCAGTTGCCAGATACATTTACTGACCCAAATATAGTGATTGAGTCACTTACCAGCTGTAAATGCTCTAATAAGAATTGATGTCCCAGAAGGACAATATCAAGCTGCTAGTGAGTCTAAAGAACGCATGAAGCGTGATAGACTTGTCGGTTCCAAATATTAGAATCCTCGAAAAAGTAAAAGAGCATAAATTGACAATGGTCAAACCGAGGAAACAAATATTTTTGAGTGATCTCCAGAAGAGACATTAAACATGACAAATAAGAAATTCAGGTACCTGAGACAATGATGAGATCTCGAGAAATTACTTATGTCATGTATATAAAAAATGGAACCAGAAGCAAATCGACGTCGTAAATAATATATTTGCATGCAATGTAGCAGTTGATATTATGAATGAGAAAGAGGATCATGAAACAAAGTCTATTGCATTGTGTACACAAAGTAATGATTTGGCCAAATCTAAAAGAAGCAATAGACACAAAACTCTTAGAAAGAGAAAAGTATTTGGACCAGAAGTCCTTTCACCTAAAAAGTGTGAAACAAGTGAGTTATAAAGGCATTTGTGCCGAAGAAAATGAGTATGAAGAGATATACTCTCATGTGGTGGATGCAACTTTCAAGTTCATTAAGTCTGGCAATGAAAGAAGAACTTGACTTATCTCACTAAACAATGACATTTATGTAAAAGTCCCTGAAGGATATAATCATTGAAGAATTAATGATATAATCGTTATGTTCCCGGAGAACATTAGCTATTCAATCAAATGAAAGAAATTGATTCATGGATATAATCACGAAAGTGAAATATGTATATTTAACAAAGTATTATAGATCAAAAGAGATCATGAAACTAAACATCGAAATTCTTGAAGAATTTTCGAAATTAGTATCACAAAAGATATGATAAAGATCTTGGAAAGACAAAGTTGTCTTAAGTTATCCCAAATTCCAGAAATGTTATGGCATGATTTACATAAGCAATGCTCACATATATTTGGTCCTGAAGTACCATACTTCAAATGCTATTTGAAAAATATGTTAGTCTCTTTTATAATTGAAAATGAGCAAAATGAGCATGAGATTATATATACAAGATAGATGTTTACAAGAATGTATATAAAAGAGAAAATTTGGCCAGAAGTCCAAATGATTGTTTATAGAAAAAGATGTCCTAGACTAAAAGTCTAAATGACTTTCATCAAAGTTATACTTATAGTAATCTTCCAAAAGATAGTATTGGAATGCATCTCCTGAAGAAGATGCTTCCAAGGGGGAGAATATGATGATATGTGTGGTTGTACTCTTTTTCCTTATCATGGTTTTTATCCCATTGGGTTTTTCCATGAAAGGTTTTAATGAGGCAACAAAGAACACACAAATGAGAAACATCTAAAGAAGTCTTGTCATCTATTTATGAGATCAAGTGAAGCAAGGAGATTGATCAAGATGAATCATCTTGATCCATGCAACCAAGAAGAATGGCGATGTCAATGTTCTAAAGACTGTTCAAGTGAAGATTTTAAAGGAGTTTCCATCTGCTATTATCAAGAAGTTCATTCACCTAATCTACACGGATGTTCTCATGAGGGGGAGTAGTTGCGCGCTGTACTCTTTTTCCTTAACTAAGGTTTTTCCCTTTGGGTTTTCCTGGTAAGGTTTTAACGAGGCAGCATCATGCGCACTTAGAAGATATTTTTAGATAATGGACTTCCAAGGGGGAGTGTTATAACTAGTTTATATGGAAGCCCATTATCGGCCCATATTCTAGAATGTTCTAGCTTGTTCTCCAAATGTATTCCTCTCCAAGGAAAACCCTATATTGTAATCCTATATAAGGAGCTCATTACTAATGGAATAATACACAACCAATTCTCTCTTCTCTTGTTCTCTCTTCTACTATAACACAATATTCCTTTGTAGACAATTTCCAATTTATTAATGATTACCATCATGACCAATGAATAAACAATAATAGTTGAGAATAAGACAATTGTGAACTAACGAATGATTTCTAAGCGAAAGAAATAAAGCTAAGTAAATCAAAGAAACATGAGTCAAAGTTATAATATATATCGAATCAAATTGAATCAAATTGCAACAATCGAAGAGGCAGAGTTCGATACAATCGAAGAAGCACAGATCCATATATTGATGCTTGATGGTTAATAATATGCAATTAATCAATTGAACATATAACGAAAATCAATTTAGAATGACAAATATCATATGAGAAATAAATAAGAATAAAATATATATGCAATTGAAATAAACAAAATAAAATCTTTTTATGATAAAATATAAATCCTTCTGGGATAAATAAAATATAAATCCTTCAGGAATATATAAATACTTTTGTAATGTTAATCTTTCGGGGATACAAATTCTTCAGCTATTGAGGATAAATAGCAATGTTTTTAAAACCGGACCGGAGAACGAACCGGAAAAGCTTTTGGGTCATAGGTTGATATGATCTAACCGGTTCAACCGGGTTTTCAATATATATATTATAATATATATATATATATATATATGGAAATTAATATTTAAATATATATTAATATGTGGTCATTAATGTAAATATGTAATTGATTTATTAAATAAGGGATACTTTGTTATAGTAAAAATGAACTAAATAAATTAAATTTTGTTATAGTAAGAAGAGAGAACAAGAGAAGAGAGGAATTGGTTGTGTATTATTCCATTAGTAATGAGCTCTTTATATAGGATTACAATATAGGATTTTCCTTGGAGAGGAATACACTTGGAGAACAAGTTAGAACATTCTAGAATATGGGCCGATAATAGGCTTCCATATAAACTAGTTATAACAAATTTGTCATAAACCCTACTTTTTCTTCTTACTAAACTGCAGCCTCCCATCATCGTGACTCTCCTCCCTCTTTCTTCTCCTTTCTTCTCTTTCCTTCTCCTCTCTCCTTCCTCATATTTCTGTAAAAATAGTTCTTCAAACTTTTTGTTTCTTTCTTAGATGTACGATTTTTTCCGCCCATATCGAAATTGGGTTTACAAATCAACTCGACCCAGCCGGTTCTTGGGTTTTCGCCGGTTTTTTTCTGGTTTTTTTGGGCCAATTGAATTTCCGGTTTTCTATTAAAATCAGACCGGGATAAGCACCGATCCTGGTTAAACCGGTCCGACCGGGCGGTCCGGTCCGATTTTTAAATCATTGATAAATGGGGAGTCTTGGCTGCTTGGAAGCGGCATCACAAATATTAAGAGCTTTAGACTTTGGGTTTAGATCATCTTGTAAGAGAGTTAGGACAAAGGTTAGAGCTTGAGAGGTTCGAAGATCGTGGATAGATCTGAGAACAAGTGAGTTACTAGAACAACAAAGATCGTGGATAGATCGAATGTTAAATTTGTTTAAACATATTTGTAAGTTACCTTAAAGAATTTTTAGTAATATATTTCTTTGTAGAGAAATGACTTGTATCTTTTTGTGATATATTTCCACATCAGTAGCCTTTGGATTTTCATCCTCCTCCAGGAGTAACGGTGAAGTCAACCCATATCTTTTAAAGCATCTGAGACTTTAAACTCGAAAGAGAAGTTAAACGGTCGAGCGGAATATGAATATCGAGAAAACATGGTTCGGTGACTACTTTCTCAAGCTATGAAAGTATAAACCCCCATTTATTCACCTCGTCAATCACTTCGTACCAGAAAATTCAATATAATATATTCACACAATACCTAAAAAAAATGTAGCCAAGTTTGTCCATCGTTGATGAAGTTACCTTAGCATTGAAGTCAACTTGACTATATATACAACTGTAGAAGTTCTCCAAAAAGCTCTTTAAAAGAAGGTTTGAAGGAGATAGATTTGTCATTTTGTCTATCCAGACACTATAGGCCGCGCACATCACTAGTCTCGCTGCGATCTGCCATCTGGGCCACACTGCATTGAGGTGATCCGTCGACGGTAACATGAGGAATGAAAGAATATTTTCTTTGGAGACATGACTGGAACCCACCGCGATGAGGCTGAGCAAAGCGTTGATTGATGTCGGTGAAAAGACAATGTTGGAGCCATTGGCAACGGTGGCGATGACGTGCTTCGCAAGTCTGACAACAGTGACGTTTTGTTTCTCTGTTGATTTTAACTCCATGTTTTTTTCAGATCAAAGAGGTAGGTTGGGAGTTGGGACGAACGACTCTAGGTGATATGAATAATAGTTTGTTTAAATAAAGTACAAAAGTAAATAAATTTTCTGCAAATGACATAGATTATTATTTATCAAAATTAATTCAGAACTATTTTAAATGTAATAATCGTCATCGTGGAAATCGTGGAAATCGTAAAAGAACGTAAAAGCTATCCACCAAATTATCTCTAATTTTGTAAGACCTCAGATATAAAATCTATTCTTTGTGATTGGATGTCGCATTGACTAACTTGAGAGTTGAGAGTTGAGACACATGGGACATGGCCACGTTAAAATACTGATTCACGATATGTCGATATAGAGTACTAAATACTGTATGATTTAAAAAGAAAAAGAAAAAAAAAGCTGCGTACGTAACTTTAGGGGCAAGTAACAAATACACTGAATTTTTCTCTCTGGATCGGAATAAACAAAACAAAACAAAATGAAAACGAGTGAGAAATAGTCGAACTGCCAAAATACGATGTTTTTACTTTATTTTTATTTTTTTGTGCTTGGCGCGGATTCGAACATCGTTAATTGAAAAAGAAAAAAAAAAAGAAATATCGACTAACCACAAAACTTGTGGCATGAATGATTTTTCCTTTATACGAAGAAGAAGAGATCATTCTCAAAAAAGAAAAGGAGAAAAAAAAGAGATCATTCTCAGAATAAAACCTTAGTATATATACAAAGCATTATAGCATTGTACCGGGGAATATGCTTCTCTCCAGGATTTTTATAAATCGAAAGGTCGAATTTTCAGGTTATAATTGTGGAGAGCTGAGATGTAATCAAAGGTGGAAATGCATTACAGGGTAAGATCTCTGTTGGCAGGAAACCATTACTTGACCTTTGCATCTTTTTATGCATTGATTTGTATTGAGTTCTCTGCCAAAGGAGATTTGCCCGGTAATTCTTCTGCGCCCATATTTCAATTAGTTACATGTGATGTGATCGATCGATCAAATCTGCAAATAAGTAAACTCCAGCTTTTCTTGTTTTCGTGTGGGCATTGGTTTATGTTCATGGATGGCACGAGGTGGGACGTCTAGCTCTTCCTCTTTGTATGAACATAGAAGGTTAGACATATTTTATAAAGTACAAAAAGTTTAGGTAAAGCTATGTTATGTAATGTTTAAAAATAAAAACTATATATGTTGTGCATTGTTTTTATCCATTTTCAGATAGCGGTCTTCTTGCTCTTCACACATTCAAATATGCTCGAGCCAAGACCGTACGGAGATAACTTTCCTTCATCCACAGCATTTCCTCATCTCTTTACTTAATATGCTTTCAGGACTCTCATTTACTCTTTTAGCCCTAAATTTTGTACGTAATCTGAAATAGCATTTTATCTGAAACAACCAAGTTTAAGAAAATAAATAAATAAAAAAAACTAATTCAACAATTCTAGCGCAATTCTTTAAAATAAATTAAATAAATAAATAATCAATTTACCAATAATTCAACGGAAGCAAAAACAATAATTAAATAAATAATCTAACAACTTAAACGAGAAGGAAACAAGCAATAAATCATAGCATCCCCTTCTTCGGCCTTGACTCCGCGATCACTTAAACCTTTTACCTGCAACACATTGCGAAAGAGTTACGTAAATACTTAGTGAGGCGATACTCTGCCTATAGGTCAGTTACGCAATTACCAGACAATTAAATAATATTAATAATTCTCATATTTATAAAAATACTCTTTATCAATTATTAAATAATTTTCATAATTAAATAATAATTTCCATCACTTAAAATAATTTTCATAATTATCTAAAATTCAATAATGAATTAAATTAATTAATCACTGAAATAAACATTAACCAGATTAAATCATAAATTAAATCAATTTAAACCGGACCAAACCGGCATGTCGGTCGACACATGACCACTTTGTGTCGAGCGACACCACACGGGTTCAACAGCCCAACACCAACAACAACGAATCGGCTGAGTAACATCAAAAACCACACAATCAACATAGTGACCACGAGATAACTCACAAACACCATGAACTTAACAAGAACAACCTCAAACCATCACGGATCTAGCAATTCGCGAGCCTACAATCACGCACTCATCTGAAAAAAACAGATTAAACAAAGGAAAGGAGATGAAGCAAGGAAGAAGAACAACAAACAGCTACAGATCAACAACCAATCGACCAAGAACACCACAATCCCCTCTTCTCTCTCTCTGGTTCACAAAACGACAAAAGAGCACAAAAGAAAGTGGATGGCTCTTTTAAATCGCGACCTAGGGCTTTTCTTGCCCAAAACCGGACCAAACCGAACTCAAATCAAACCGGTCCGATTTTGAAAGAGCTGTGTCAACCGACAAACTTTGCTTGTGTCGCTCGACACAAGCTATAAACTTCCACATAAAGGGCTACAGATGTTACATTATCAAATTTCTTTTCTATAAAACTAGAATGTCTGTAAAACAAACCTAGTAGCTACTAGCACAAGTTGTAAAATTGCCTCCGAATAAAGCCTCAGCCGCATAGATTCACATTACTCTGATCTCTAATTGTATTTTGGTACTTGCGTGCTTAGCTTCAAAACGAACCTAAGATTTGAGAGAATTCTCTGAGATGCTAATTGCGGTATATACTGACAAACAATGGTGTTGCATGTTCGTTTCATACATCTAGATATGACTTTTGTTTAATTTTAGAATCAGAACCCATATGTTTCCTCAATATTTTTGTATAATGGTTTGAACCAAATACTGTAAAATGATAATTAATTCAGATATTGAATAAAGTGACGAAAAGAGTAGCCAACCAAAATATTCTGTAACTCGTATTGCAATCTTAAACCTTATAGTTATAGCAATAGTGCACACACACACACACACACACACATACACAAAACACTGGAGCAATATTATTCTCATTTGTACGTACATTTTTACATATGTAACAAAATCGACGTTATTTGTCACCAGTATGTAACTAGCTACGTAAGTTAGGGCTTATATAAAATTTGAAGTACTGAAAATTGCAAAAAGGCTTTGAAAAATATGTCATTATTGTTTTCATATAAAGACAATATCCTTAATTTTTCTATACTATACAAATCAAATTTTGAGACAATAGCCTTAATTATAGAGGAACAAATGTTTGAGAACTCTATAATTGAGTTTGGAACTTTGGATTAACAAATACGAACTCATAAGTCTGAATTAATTTAACCTTTTAGCCTTTAGACGCTAAAAAAATCAACAATATATTAAAATAATGAATAACATATGAAATACAGAAATCAATTCCCAAACACTCTGTTCGGTCTCTCAAAACTCAGTATTCGGCCCAAAACTAAAGTAGAAGCTCCTAAAAATATGCGAAGAACATTCCCACGGATCTTCCATTTCAAAGAAAAAAACTACGTACTTTGTAGTGTCTACTTTTTCAAAAAAACTTCTTCTTTGTTACTCTTTTTTTTTACTTGTTGTCTCTTTAGTTCATCCAATCGTTGTTCTTTTCTTTTTTGGAAAGAGCATTTTATACCCTGTACGGCTTCATCAAGTTGTTCGATAGCACATTTTTGGGAAGTCAACAATATTTAGAGTTAACCACCGTATTGAGTTGCAGGCTTGCAGCTAACTCACCAAGACCTTCCTTTCCCATACCTTAATACATACAAATACAATGGCGAAATAATAGAAAAAAAAAAAATTCCTATCTTAAAACAATAAATCAAACATGTGACGTTAATTTGTCGAATCCTCGAATTTATACACATTTTTTAATAATTACTCCCTAAAAACCCATTAAAAATTTAATTCTGAAACCTACCAACTGTACGTAAAATCTACGGTAATTAATCAGTGATAACTATTGATAAAGTTCCTTTGGATGTAAGTTCAAGAAGTGACGTAGGATTCGAATAAAGTAAAAAATAATAATAGGAAAGCTTTTTTTTCTTTTTTTGAACAACAGAAACGCATTTCAATTTGGATTTTTTTGTGAAAAAGAGTTCGTAGGCATAAGAGCATATCATTTTGGGAATCACACCTCAAATATTTTTTACAACGAAGAAAGCATCATACCATTGAATATCCGTCTTTGCAATAGTATATAAACGCACCAATTCTTCAAGGGAAACTGTATTTTGAAGAGTAACATCTATATATATTCAGAGAGAGAAAGAGAAGGTGCAAATGCAATAACAGGGCAAGATCTCTATTGGCAGGAAGTCCCATTACTTCACTTTTGCATATGTAATTAATTAATTATCACTTCACTATGCATTTTTTAGTGATCAGCTTTCTGCCAAAGGAGATTTGCCCGGTAATTCTTCTGCACCAAAATATTAGTAAAGTTAATCACAACAAAAAACAAACAAAAAAACAAAAATATGTGGAAAAACCAAAAACTTTTAGCTGCGACTGGATGATGTCTGTGAGCGTTGAGTTCACTTCTAATCCCAAGCAAGGTATGTGAAAACTGAAAACGGAAAACACTTAAATTCTTCTTTGACAAAAAAAAGAAGAAGAAGAAAACATTCATTTCTTTTTCGGAGTTCTGTTTGGTTTATTTCAAGTTCGTTTAAATGATACCAACTTTTTTGTTAAAGGATCTAAATGATACCAAATTTAAGTTCACGGATATACATTAGTATATCGACAAATATCAAATGAGATGAATATTTACATCCGGTGTATTTACCACTATATTTTTTTTTTCAATTTTCATTGTAATTTTAATTTCCTTAGTCTATTCTTCAATTGGTTTGTTTTTTGGATCATAGTATTTGACAAATATTTTGAGTCTTCGTCTAATTATTGACATGTGTATTTCTAAAGCTGAGTAAAGTAACAAACTGTTTGTTAGGGTTCACGTTTGTGTTAATATCTTCATATTATGTAATATTCATCACAAAACAGAAATGCAAACTCAAACGCGAACAAGTAATCAAATTATATTTATCTAGAGCTGCATACTCATATTCTCACCCATTGTAAAATTCGCTAGTTTCATATTATGAACTTTGAACTAAGCTCAAAACAAATAGCAGAAACGTACGACATAAATTGCAGGTCATGGGTTCAGATAAGACTGTGGATTATGTCATCTAACTTTGGAAGGCATGTTTTTTGTTAAAAAAATATTAAGAAGGTATTTTATTAAGGGGAAATTGAAAATAAAGGACCTTTTAAATGTATGTTAGGTGATCTACACCTTTCTTTGCAAAGTTTTTAGACTTTTCTTTAGACATTTGAAGCGGTTAAAAACACTGAAGTTAAAGGATTTTAAGAATTATTTGAGGTCTACCTAAGAAATAATGAATGAACTGGTTCTGTTATCATTAAGAATGTATTGATGAAAAACTTGACTATATGACTTAATAAAATTGAGATTGTTTGTTTAGATACTGATTTATTTTGTGAAGTTTAAAATTTTACTTTTAAAGTTTTTTATGAAAATGCTTATGTAAAAAAAATTTACTTAAATGTTCAAAATTGTTTCGTTGGACTGACACTGAGTATTAACCTCTCCATATTTTTCGTAATTTTCTATCCTAAAGGCGGATTTAGTCTATTGGTCTCCTCTATAGCTGTCTCGTTACACACAACAACGCTGTTCATATGTCTCCATTTATCAACTACTTAACACCAAATGTCTCTCGTGATAGTGCTTCGTCGTATATAATCCGTCTTTTAGGATAGTCATTTTTTTTTTCTACTCATTTTAATTAGTTCCATTAATTTATGATTTATCTTTCCATAAGAAATTTTTCTTTTTAAGTATAATCAAGCCTACTGTACCCAAACCGGAATTATCCTCTTTCACTGGCCAACCTTGAACCCTAGTTAACGTACCCCTATGATTCTCGTCTTTAATTAGGTTAATTATAGGTTAAACATACTTTCTAAGACTCCTCTTGTGATAATTACTGTTGGAAATAAAAAGTACACATAATAAAAACTAATACTCACTCCATTTCACAGTAAGTGTGGTTTTTAGACTTATTTTTTTCTTTTAAAATAAGTGTCATATTAGGTTTCCAATTTTCAATACATAATTATCTGTTTTCAGTTTTAACCTCTTCATTTAATCAATTAACAAAGAAATTAAATCACCTAATATATTAGTTAAGGGTATTGTAAAAAAAAAATATGTGTGTAAAACCCTTAACGGACACTTATTATGAAACATAGTGAATATTTATGATTTGGGGTGATGTGATACAAATGCACACACAATAAATACTTTTTACTTTAGAAATTTATTTTTAGTAATTCTGTGAATAATAAGTAAGTGAAAAACAAAATCAAAGCAAAAAAAAGATGAAGTTTTGAAAAAGAAAAAAATAACGCTTTATTTTATTCTAAACATAAAATTTAATATCTCTAGTATAAAATCTTTATTTTATCTTTTTTTGTACAATTTATAGAAATCTTTTGAATGATTTATGGTTGATCTAATATTCTCTTAACTTTATAAGATTGTTCAAAAGGGATATTTTAAAGGCATTTGACGTAATTTCTTCAGAAGTTTAAGGTTGTTTTCTAAAACGTATTTCTCACCTAATAATGTAAAGATAATGAATTACATTGTTGTGTAATATTTTTTTCGCTAAAAGGTTAATAATTACTGTGTAATAACTTAGACGTTAGTATGTCACATAGAGTAACGTTTGCTGAGAATAGGACAGATAAGGACAGAGAATAAAACAGAGAAAATGGTAGTAACAAGCATGTGAATCAGTCACAGAGCAGCCCCATGCTGACCACTTAGTCTGCTTTCTTACGTACCTTTCGAAGTGAGACAAACGTAAAGATACAACCCGTGAGTCCTCTTATCTCTCTGCCCTCGACAATTCTTCTTATAATATAAATATATATGGAACACATTTGTATTTGCGGCTATCAGAGCTATGTATGTATCGGTAGGATTTTTCTGGCAATTTTATAGGTATCTGTCTCTGACATCTGGAACTTTGCCATTGTTTTATTCTCCTTTCGCGTGCATCGATGTCTGCTCAAACTCTCTATTTTTTTTTTTTTTTTCAACAGCTTATGTTCTTAAATCGGGAGTGAAATCGGTGGAATAGAGTTTACATAATACAAATCATAAGGTAGATCCCGAGCACTCCGTGCTAACTTGTCCGCCTTCGTGTTTTTTGTTCTTGAGATATGAGTTAGGGAAAACGCCTAGAACTTCCTCCTGCACTTTTCCACCTCTTCTAGAAGAATTTCAAACACCATCTACTCTTCAGATTCATACACCATCTTCACTAAATCAGAACAATTCGTTTGAAAATTCATTCTCCATTTATTACGGAAAAGCATATTTTGCATAACCCAAATCAAAGTTTCCAGTTTGGTCTGCAACGGGATAAACCCCGCCTTAAATTACTGGCTATTACTAATGTTAAACCCGAGTCGGGATCAAAGTTATATCAACCAAGTGGCTCGACCCATTATATATTTTTTTTAACAGCTAAAACTTTATTTCATGTTCAAGACTATTTTATTATTTGAAGTAATAGTTTTTAATCAGCAAAGGTATCTAACCCAGTTAATCGGCAAATTTTCTCGTCCTTCTTTGCGAGTTTGAATTTGAAAAAAGAAAACTGTAATTTGTTTAGAAATTAACCAGAATTTAACTAAATTTTTTTTTTATCGAATTTGACATTAATAAACCATTTTTTGTATCAAATACGACTTATCCATTTGTTTTAATGGACGTTTTTCTCCTACATCCAAACAAACCGAACACCAAAATATCTAAATCAACCATAACCGATTCCATATTATGTATAGTGGATGGTTTGTATCCATTAATATTGTATTTGTATATAGAGAAAAGGAGATATAATATCACTACTTTATCAAAAAAAGGAGATATAATATCACTACAAAACTTATACCTTTTCTTGTCAACACAATCATTTTTTTTTTTACTTTCATTTTCAAAATAATACATGGTACGTAGGCGCCGTTTGAAATCATTGTATTTGTAGCTCCAAACAGTGCTAATTGTTCAATACATAATGGCGATAAATAATTAACCAAATATCACACGTCAAATCTAAATCTGTTAAATAACTTATCTCTCCAACAACCATACCATATTATATTTTAAGATTTTATAATCTTATTTGGTTAGTGATGTTTCAATAAGCTACTGCTTTCATCATCAACTTCAAGGTGCATATGTTTGCCTGTTTGGTACTACACGACAGGAAAATATGCGTATATATATGGATGCCAAGACGTATCCTTCAAAGTTCGAACAAAAATAATTGTATTCTTAAAGAATTCAAAACATTAAGAAAGTGATGGTGGCTAGTGACCAAAAAAAGAGGGCAAGCCAAGGGAAGCCTCATTTTCTTAAAACTCTCACCCACTTTAAACTTGTATGTACAATATAGATATATTATGTTCATATCCCTTGATGTTTCTACGATTTTTACTCCTTAAATTTCATGATTATATTTGTGTTTGACCTAAAAGTTTGAGACCAACTGATGAATTGTTCTGCAGAGTAAACATGAAGAGAGCATGGAAATTAGGGAGGCTCTTTTACACATAGCCATGCTCAAATTCAAGATAGAAGCTTTGCAGAGAAAATGTGAACATTTTAATATTATCAGAAGAAAACCTTTACACCAGTTTCAGGTTTCTCCTCTCCTCTCATCTTTCTTTACATATTTTATCCAAAACAAACATCTTTCTTTACATATATATATATATATATATATATATATATATATATATATATATATATCATCACGTGGTGTTCTAGCTACTTGGGAGATTGCTAAGGTCAATTCGTAGAATATAGTTTCAATGTTAAACATTCTTGTGAACTCTAGCAGGAGGTGAAGGTGGAAAAAAATGGGGAAAAGTTTCAAGTAAAGATAAAAAGCCTAAAGGGAGACAATAAGCTTTTGAACATTCTAGAAACATTTGAAGAAATGGGGTTGAGTGTGGCTCAAGCAAGGGTTTCATGCCGAGTTTCATTTGATATGGAAGCCATTGTTGTACCTCAATCCAAAGACAAGTTGTGGAGTGTGGATGATATGATTCAAACTCTTGTTAAATCTCTGTCAAGCCAAATGGCTAACTGTAACATTTAGACGGAAAAAGGGACTAAGGAAGAAAAGAAGAAGCTTTTCCCCACAAAAAAATTAAAAAGAGAAGAAGAAGCTCAATAATGTGTTTCAAATAACTGGAATAACTTTGACTTGTGACAATGGTTCACAGCTCCCAAACTTAGTACCAAGCTAGACTTTAAACAAAAAGTTATCCTCTCTAAACGACAAGAAATGTTGGGGTGGAAATTTATACGATGTTAAACGACAACTCTTATAAATGGCACCGATCGAAACCATTTTTCAAAAAGTTCGTTTTCTCTTGAATATGTTCATAAATTATTTCACAACCTCTTCCTGAATAGAAACAAAAAAATAAGTGGTGGAATCCTTTGACAGACATTCACAATCACCTCAAGTTGGTATATATGTGGTTTGCCAATGCTAAAATTTTCATTTCATGTACTAAATTAATAAAATTTAAATTAGTCTGATAGATATCTTTTTTTTAAAAACACTTAAAAGTGGAGTTTTAAATCACCCCATCGTCCGTTGCATATTTCCATTCCATTCTTTTACATAAAAGTTAACTTCCAAAAAAAAATATATATATATTAGGAGTGATCCGCGCTATGCGCAAGTTGTGTTTTTATTGTTTTTCCACAAATTTAATATTGTTTCAAAGATATTATACACACATTACTTAAATATAACTAGAGTTAGGAAAAAAGATTGTATCATCTTGTTCCATCTCATTCCATTTTGTTCATTTTCATCATGTACGTTCTTTCCCGTCCCGTATGTCCCGTCCCGTCCCATTATATTTTTTCTATTTTGTTTATTCTCGTCTCGTTCCCTAAATATAATTAGGGGTAGACATAAATATATCTCAATCCGTTCCTTTTCATCTTATCATGTTCTTTTCCATCCCGTTCGTTCTGTCCACCCCATCCAGTTTCATCATATCTTATTATGTTCATTTCCATTTTGTCTTATCTATGTCTCATCTCTGAATATAATTAGGGGTAGGCAAGATTTTCGTCCCGTCCCATTATGTCCTCGTCCGTCCAATCTCGTCCCGTCCAATCCCGTCACATTCCGTTCCTTTAGATCTCACTTAATATCATAAGAAGTAAACAAAATTCTCTTCTTCTCCGATTCTATTTTTTTCGTCTCGTCATATTCAATCTCGTCTCTTTTCATCCAAGAATATTATAGAAAAAAAAATATTTCTATAATATCTTTGAGAACTACTAAATAATAGTTTTTATAGATTTATATAAAATCTTTCTCCTTTTTGTAAATGACTTTTCATATTCTTGTTAAGTCTATTTAATGAATGATAACTATTATAAAAAATATATATATATATATATATATATAATATATATTAAATGTTTGTGCTAAATTGATGAATTTAGAGACACCATGTTTTGCTTAGGTGGCAGCTTAAGAAGAGAATTAGATGAACTTTATATATATATATATATATATATAAATACAACAAAAACCATGGTTTTTTAATTCACAGTATTCTTAACAAAGAGCACAACATTCACAAAAGCAGTGAGTGAAGAGTCCGAAGATGGAGACTTAGGTAACCCAAATTTGGTTCGAATCTTAATCCGGTACGTGCATGTTGAACAAACAAGCATATGGTAAGGCGACCACATAACAACATATTAGTCCATAGAATATCCCACATATCTCCCGCAACATATTAGTACATGAACAACCACATGTATCTACAAGACTACAGGTATAAATATATGTTCTCGAATACAATAAAAGGATACTTACCAGTATTTCCTTTGTCGGCAATATCCGCGATCCGTCCAAAAGTGACGCACGGACAGAAACATGTGAGGCAAACGTATCCAAATCAAAGCAAAAATATAAATATTAAATCATAATGAAATGATGACAGTAGAACTATGTATAGTATAACCGGTCAGAGATCGTTTATCTTCCATCCGGCAATTGGGAGGTAACAGATTCGAAAGGGGTATGAAAGTATGGTTTGCTTCAAGATGATATATGTAACCTTGTAGTCTCAATTCTTTTCACTTTCAAAAACTCAGAAAACATGCTGCACTTGTTGTAAATTAGAAAAATAAAATTTGGTTAATTTTACATTCAACTCAAAGAAACAAAAAATCTATGTACAAATATTTACTGATAACTCATTAATTTATTCAAAGAAACTCTAAGAACATCCCCAATGGATATCTCAAGTATAAAAGAAACGAATAAACATTAAAAAGTAAGAGAGAGAATGTAGAAGGGTTCTCATTTGAGATACCATGAGAACACTTCATGCTACATGTCTCATTTTTGTTGGTCTAATTCTTTTTGCAACAAAAAAATGTAATCACATAATTGAATTATATTGAATTGACATTGTTAGAGCATCCGCATTGCACATTTTTTCATCGGTTCTGGAACAAAAAAATAAAGTAAAAATAAAAACTTACACACATGGCTGAAAAATTAACGAGAGACGTCTTTGGTGGAAGGACTTGTAGAATCGTCTCTACTTGCCACGCGTCGACAGGAGAAAGCCCCGCGTTTTTATTTTTTTTCTTGTTATGTTTTTATTTTCTTTTCTTTCTCGAACTTCCTCTTCTCTCCGTCTTCTCTCCGATCCGAGCGGCTCCTCGAATTCCTTCTTTCTTCGATCTCCGGTTGTTTTCCTCTTGATTCTTCTGACGTCGGGCTTATTCTTGTTCTTCACCTTCTCCTTTCTTCTTCACTTGACATTTCTCTTCTTCTGCTTCGCCACCGCCGAGAGTTCTTCTTCTCCTGCAATGTGGAGAGAGAGCTCTACAATTTTCCCCAAAAACTCTACAATTATTTAATTAATATATTTAATATTAAAAAAAATTAAAGAGCTTGTGTTGCTGTTCTGCAATGCGGATGCTCTTACATTGTGGAGATGCTCTAACCAGTTTTGCCGTCTTCCATTCAGCTGCAAAGACTAGAAGTCCATTGGTTACCCATCATAAAATATTGGATTCTTCTGGTAAAACGGTGCTTGAAGATTAAATTGTTGCTCGATTCCTTTATCAACAAGAAACAGATTGTAAATCAAATAAGTTTTGAAGTAAAAAAATATGTTTTTATTGTGTGGTGAAAGGTAAATAGTTGAGTGATGTCGCTTCAAGACCCCACAGATGTTTAATTGTTAGTACATAGCAGTTTGGGGAAAATCAGAAAACATAAACACAATCGCTCATAACAATTAAACATTTATGTTTATGTTTTCATGGAACGCTCACATTAAATTCTTTTGTTTACATATACGGAATCAATTTGGCATGTGCATGATCAGAACTCAGAAGCTTCATTTATACCCTTCAAAACCCTGAGATCGGTAAGATACACTTTCCATGACGCCACCATACATGAACGCATTGTACATTAGTTTATTTTTCTCGCATTTACTGAATAAATCAATATCGGAGAAATGAAAAATATTATATGAATCTAGAAATAAAGGCTGGAAACAAATATAGAAATGATAGAAAATTGACAAAGATAAAAATATCTTGAAGTATTGTAATCATATAAATAAGTCATAGCATGTTGTACAAGAACCACGCCGAGGTTTAAGGAAAAGTCAGAGATGCCAAATTATTAGTCCCAATTTTAATGACAAAATATTCCATGATATTAGCCGCCAATAACATATTTAAATGCATTCAGCCAAGTATATATTTAAATAATTGTTTGCCAAATCGTGTCCATAATATTATAGAAACGATTTTATATTGTAGCCACATTGCTTCACGCATCAATACCTTTTTGTTTAATCCAAAAGCTTTTAGATATATCAATCCAAATTTATAAATTTAGACAATTCCTTGTCGAAACTTATTAAATAGTGTATTTTTAAGTACTTCTAACTAAAAAAAAAAAGCATATCAAAGTTTTCAATGAATATTTTTAAACTTATCAAAATTACCATTTCACCAAAATATGGATGCAATGCAACGGGTACTTTCTCTAAATATTACAACGTGTTTAAACCATAATGTTTCTGTGAATGCCGACTGGATTCCACTATTCTAAAGCTATTTCTGCTAAATCCTAATTGAGTTTTTAGAGAACGTAAATTTCTAGCTACAAAAAGCCAACAGCTTCAGTTTATCTACAAGGCTAAAAGCTTAGTCATAAATCTACAGTTCCAGGATGAGCTAATAATCAATCAGACGCAATATGTTGCAATTATGATTTTATATTTTCTCGCAAATTTGTATTTATATGTCAAATTGGCAATAGGGCTGTATTTATTTTCAAACTGAACTTATACACCGATATGATAGCAACAAAATGCAAAGTCAACACGCAAACATTTTTAAAATCACCTTATACTTTTCTTGGTGATATAAGTAAATAAATTCCTGAAAGATACAAGTTTATCTTTTGACATACTGTCCCATAAAGTGAATAATACAAGTTTATTTTTTCTTTTTGTTAGAAAGAAATAACACAAGTGTGAATTGTATATAGTAAGGATTTCGGTATAGATGGAATCGTGTATTTCATAATGCTTCATCATTAAACAGTATTTAATAATTAGTCTCTAGTAATTAAATAAGTAAGCATATATATATACACCTATCTCATAATGGCTCCATCATAATCTGTTATGATCACTCCATGGGAAATTAAAATAGCTTTAGGTTTTCCTGTAATAGCTTTTTCTTACGATGTTTTTGTTTTTCAGTCTTACCAAGATATATTCTAGTCACTGTCCCATACATTTTACGAATAACTTAATCAATAATCATCACTATAATTTATTAGTAGTCTACGGTTGCTCTTAGATTTTAGCTTGCACAGCGAGACAGATTATCAGAATGATCTGGAGGCTAATGGATGGAGAAAAAAACCTCTGTGGAATCTCTTTAAAGCGACAGGGATGTGGAAATCTTTTTGAGAAAATGTTTCAAACTTCTGCACTATAAAAGCATTCAAAGAACAAGTCTTGGGGTGTTTATATTTGGGAGTTACAAAGGAGACAGATAGGAGAGATCTTTATCCTCCAACTAAAACTACAAAAATCACCATGAGTATGAGTTGATGTCGTGCTGCAATCTATGAAACAAAAGCGTGGCGAGGAACATGACCATAGAACCAAATCTAATCTGCCATAGTGATATGATCGATTGCTTGCTCAACTGAGAAATCATATTGTATATTTCCATGATTCGTATCCTTTTGTGTTAATATTCAATATTATGTAATGAAAAAACTAAAGCTAGGTTAATTTAGCAAAAAAAAATCTAAAGCTAGGTAGTCTTTATAAAATAAAAATAGAAAATCCTAGGAAATAAAAGTGTTATTTAAATTAATAAAGATATTAGTATGGGCATGTTGTACAAAATATTTCATAATTATATCCATTTTAGAAAACTTCATTTACGTACATACACAGTATGGAATTACAATCCACATGTCCATTTTTATTGTCTCTAATTGTGATCAGCGCAAAGAAAGGTGAACTTTGATCAGTAACGATAACCATCATTAATAGATAAGATTATCTATATGGTTAGAAATAAGAATTTTAATTAGTCCAAAACATGATAAACATATTATATATGCGTTTCGTCAGCTGATGATGTTGCTTTTGTTGAAGGAAAAGGTCATAAGATATTTAATTTGATTTTTTATTTATAGTTTCGGCTCGTACTTTGGAGTGCATGTTGAGAGTCTTTGGGATTGCATTACACTATGCAACAGCCAACATGTGCATATACATACAACATATAAACATTCATATGCCAACACTAGAAGCCCAGATATCCATAAATTAAGTTTAAGTATAAAAAAACAAAAGTGGAAATGCATCTAATTCATTCATAAGATAAGAGATAGCTCTTCTAACAATAATATCCCTTTTCAATGTATACAGTTGTATATACAATCTAATGTTCTAACTTCTAAGTTCTAACTAATACTCAGAACAATAAAAAATATCCAATGCCATGTAAATTTTATGTCATACATAACCAATTCAAAAGGGAAATTGTGATAAGACGACATCATTACATTATAACCAATTTAATTATTAAAAATTGAAGTAAAATTAGGAAAACTCTTACACTATAATAAACAACTCTTAATCGAAGTTTCATTTAGCTAAAGATGAGTTTCCTAGGTACATGAAACACTAATAAACTTTTTGTAAATTGAAAAGGTATTGAAAAGGATAGAAAAATAAACTTTAGATCTAATAGAGATTTTCTTTAAAGGAATAGTAAAGTATGATCATGCATCATATATGCTACCCTTTCCTTGTTCATACGCACTACACCACCCAATAAAGCTAATCATCTACCAATCATTTAAATAAATTGTAAAAAAAAAGATTTGAACAATGGTGAATAAAGACAAAAACAAAACAAGTGTATACTATTAATACCTAACCCCATCTTCAAACCACGCAATAAAACTATTATATCATAAACAAAGGGTGTGATCATATGTAACCATCGCCTTATAGACAAATTATTATCTACTAAACTAACAATCAATCGGGGTCCATCTCTTAAATGATAGGGATATAAACTATTATTATTGTTTAAAAGAAAACAAGTAGAGTGATTAAATTGACATATTCTCGCACGTCCTCTTTCATACACAACTCCTCTTCTTCTCCACCTTCTCTCCATTTTCTCTTTCTCATATCCCTCTCTCTACTTCTACTCCTCTTCCTCCTTCTCCAACTCATATCTTTCCAAGCAAGATCAAGATTCAACTAAATATCCGATCCTTGATCGATATAATCGATATCAACCCTTCTTCACTCGCTTAATTACTTGTAAATATATATAAACTATAGTCTATAGAAAATATAAACATGAAGCGAGGTCTAGAGATGGCAAGAAGCTACAATGATCACGAAAGCAGTCAAGAAACCGGACCGGAATCACCAAATTCTTCAACCTTCAACGCTGTTGTCTCTTCTCATTCCCCTAAACGAAGGTACGTACCTAATATATACATATCTTTGATTCCAATTACAAAATAACTTCCCATTATGTAGAGTGTAATAAGATCTTAATGTACTTATTGAATAACAGCAGGAGATCCATAGAGAAGAGAGTTGTGAACGTGCCGATGAAAGAAATGGAAGGATCACGGCACAAAGGCGACACAACACCACCGTCAGATTCATGGGCCTGGCGTAAGTACGGCCAAAAGCCCATTAAGGGATCTCCATACCCTAGAGGTTATTACCGTTGTAGTAGCACAAAAGGTTGTCCGGCGAGGAAGCAAGTCGAGAGAAGCAGAGACGATCCAACGATGATCCTCATCACTTACACCTCTGAGCATAACCATCCTTGGCCTCTCACTTCTTCGTCTAGGAACGGACCCAAACCAAAACCCGAGCCCAAACTCGAACCTGAACCTGAAGTACCGGAGGTGGTGGAGCCGGAGGAAGAAGATGATAATAATAAGTTTATGGTTCTTGGAAGAGAGATCGAAACGACACCGTCTTGCGTCGTCGACGTCGACGAGTTCGCGTGGTTTAGTGAGATGGAGACAACGTCTTCGACGATTCTTGAGAGCCCGATTTTCTCGTCCGAGAAAAAGACGGTTGTCTCGACGACGGGAGATGACGTGGCGGTGTTTTTTCCGATGGGTGAGGAGGATGAGTCTTTGTTCGCCGATCTCGGCGAGCTGCCTGAGTGTTCGGTGGTGTTCCGCCACCGGAGTAGCGTAGAGATCTTTTGACACGTGGTGGTATTTTATTGGATATTGTTGTCGCTCACATGGGAGGCGTTGTACGCACGGCGTTTTTTTCTTAAAATGTTTCTCAACGGATAAACCACTCTTTCTATAGTCTATACTTATTATTTTCAAAAAAAAATCGATTTTGTAATTTCCATTTTTATTTTCTTTTACTATACTCTCTACTCTTTGAGAATTCACCATTTTCTCTATTTAATTTGTGGGTTTGTGGGCTATGAAAACCACACTCGAAATTTATAGGTTTTGCAAGGAAGAAACTTAGGGAGATTTAGGGCTAGATTTTGATGTAAGTCGAATGAATCGTAAGCAAGGATTTGGCTAAACGGAATTGTATTAAACGAATGAATTTGGTTACAATGAATTCTCAGAAGAGAGAAAGAACTAAGCTCAAAGGTGAATACAAGGAAAGTATGATAGTAATTAGGTCTAAAGTGATCGGAAGAAGATGTGTGTCTCTCCCTTGATCCGACTGCTGTCAAGCTCCTTTTATAGCTCCAGAATCAGCTACGATCCACCTCCGCGTATCTCGCCACGTGCAGCTAACGATCCCGGTGATCTCGGACCAGACCGGATTTGAAGGAGATCTTCTTTGACTTCGTCTTTCTTCGCAGTGCCGACCTGGTCCTTGATCGAGCTGGAGCTCGTCTTTACGTCGACCGGAATAGCTCGGATGGCAGTTAACTGGCTTACGAGGGAGTCGCTTGGTGGGCTCGAGGTCTTCTTGCTGGGCTTGAGTGGGCCTGGACTTCAATCTTGGATCAAGGTAATGGGCCCTTACGGGCTAGATTCCAGGTGTGGAATCTGGGTCCAACAATTGCCCCCCAGCCCTTTTAAGTGAGTTTCGAACTTAAAACGGGCGGTTTGATTTCATATTTCAAAAATTCAAACTTTTGCCGGGCTAATTCGAATCCTCGATTCGGGGTATATTCGAGCTTATCCGCATAATTTGAACGGGGTAAAAGATCACGGGGATCTCGTCGTTGGAAATTGCCTTAGGCATTTATTTTCTTTTACTTCGTGGTGAAGATAAGATCTGGCCGTTGAAACGAGGTGAACGGTCGAGATCGCGAACGAATCTTGTCAACTCGCTGCAATCTCGCTACCCGAGCTCCTCGAGAACGGATATCGCGTGTTACCGAGATTCGAAATGATTATGTTTTCGAATCGGACGGTTCAGATTGAGGAGAGCGAAGAGCCCGTGCGGCTGAGATCTGTTGGGACCCACAGCGCGTCACATCATCAGCTCGTCGCATGCAAGCGGTTAAGATCTGTGAGTTGTACGGTCGAGATTCACGCAGAAAAATCGGATTCTTTGCGATCTCTTCAGCAGTTAATACTGAATATAAACTCGACCCACTACTCTTCTCTTTAACCGTGCCCACGTTTTTGAAAAGGTAACTTCTCCTCTCTCTTTTACTTATTTATTTGCTCTCAAGTTTTAGATTAGATAACTCCAAGTTCTTGAAAATTATCGAACCTTTGCAAAATTTCGAGCGTTTTAGGTTGTTTCGATTTCGAATTTCTCCAAAACCTCCTTCAACCTCTTTTTCCTCCGTCTCCTCCTCCGATTACAATGCCTCCGAAGGTAATCGTCAAGCAAGAGAAGGGAAAGGCCGTCGACCCCGGTGGCGACGGGAAGTTTACGCCGCACGCCGAGACGGCGCTCGACGCCGAAAGCCTAGACACCTTCCGTCAGGATTTCGGGATCCCGGACGAGATAGAGCTCGTCCTGCCGGCTGAGGGCGAGGACCCGGAACATGTTCGTCCGGGGTTTTGCTGCGCCTACACATCGTATTGGCGGAGCGCCGGGATGATTTTCCCGGTCCCTCGTTTTCTGATGGAAGCGCTCGCTCATTACAAGATGGCGTTTCCACAGATGCACCCGAGCTTCGTCCGCCACGTGATAGGATGTGCGGTTCGAGCTCGGGAAGAGGGCGTCTCGTTCGGTGTTCGAGATTTGAGAAAGCTTTTCTCGGTGAAGAACAACACCAGGCTACCCGGGTCGTTTTACTCCTCGCCGAGGCCGAATCGGCGAATATTCACGAACACCCCGCAGAGGGATAGCGGGTGGAGTGACGAGATGTTCTTCTTCCGGGTCAGCGAGGCCACGATGGGCGACTTCGACTTTGGTCGAATCCGAACGGAGTGGGCGACTAGCGTTGGTTAGCTTAGGCCGATTTCCGTTTAGGATAGTCGATACCTCGCTTGACTTATGGAATACCTCGTTTATTGACGATTTTTTTTGTCTTTTGCAGTTGTAGATCCAGTACCGAACAACCCGGGGATTGATTACCTCGTCGAGCGACTCGGAAGGGAAAAGGTGAACTGGAGTACTTTTACTCCGGAACGGATCCGTCGTGTTCTCAGCTCTCCTCCTGCTCCTCCTCCAGGTAATAATCTCCCTTTGACCAGCTAGAAATTCATTTTACGAACTCTTTGTAACGAGCTGTTTACATAAATTTTCCAGCTGATCTTCCGGTTAGATCGGCGCAAGATTCTAGCTCCGCTTCTTCTGTTCCTCCTCTTACACGCAGATCGAAAATGCCTCGTCGTCAGCCTCTCAGATCCCGGACCGCAAAGGGTGCCAAAGGCGCTTCCTCGGGTGGAAGTCGAGTTCGTGCCGGCGAGTTCGTAACGGCGGTGGAGGAGGCTATGGCTTCGAAGCCCACGGCGGGGTCTTCTGCCCTTGCCGACCAGGTGGTTGACCAGGTCGACGCGACCGCTGAAGGAGAGATCGTTCCTCTCCCGAGTACGGTTCATGTGAGCTCCGATCGGACTCGGAGTTCGGACCAAGGTCACTCGAGGCAGGCGTCGAAGCGAGCTCGGAGTGACGATGGCGAGGCTCGTTCTCGCGAGGGCGGTCCGACTGCCTCGAACGGGAGCGGGGGAAAGCCGCCGTTCTACTGGCAGTACGAGAATTCCAGAGGCTTCCCCGTTCAGGACGACGAGGAGGGAACAGCTCGCATTCAGCTCCACTTCAAGCCCGTCGGATGCCGGCTCCCGTCCCTGAACCAGATGTCTGAGAAGGAGCTCTACATCGCGACGTGCGCTGCGAGCGGGAGGGTAAGAACTGTTTCCCTAGTCAAAACTTTAGACGAGAGTCTTTCTTGTTGTTTTGGCCTTGGTTGAATTTTTTGTTTTTGTTAGGCTGTGGCAGCTCGTAACATGTTGGTGTCCCGCCTGGAGTCGAGGATCAGAGATGCGCCTCAGCAGAAAGAGCTCGATCAGGTGAAGGAGCTCGTTGCCAAGTTGACCTCCGATCTCTCTGCGGCGAACGAGCGGGTAGCTCGTCAGGGTGAGCTCTTGAAGAAACACACCTCGCAAGAGGGTCGTGTGAAAGAGCTCGAGACCAGGGAGGCCGATCTCTTGCGCCAGCTGTCCCAGAATCAGGAGCAGATGGCGGCTTTGCAGAAGGAGAGCTCGAGTGCGCTGACGCAGTCGCTTCGCCTTAGCCGGGAGAACCAGGTACTCGTCGCCGAGAAGGACAACATAGCTCGCCGTGCCAACCGCGCAGGTCGGAGGGAGATGGTCGCGAAGCATCGGGAAGTGCTTGAATCGGCTAAGGCAAAGTTCGAGGAGAAGAGGGTGGAGGGTGAGAAGGAGGGCGATCAGATCGAACTCCAGTCCAACATCGATCTCCTTACGTCGCTGATCTCCGGTGCGATCAACCAGGAGGAAGAGCTCGCCAGGTTGAAGGGGCTCGAAGATGAGGTGGCCGAAGCAGCCAAGGCGGCCCAAGTCTCCGATTTCTCGATCGGGAAGTTTAACCTTCCCGTGGTTTCGGAGGACTCGGTCGCGCGTATGGAGATCGACCCATCGACGAGCATCCCGGTTGGCTTGAACCCGTTCGGGACGAATGCCGAAGAGAAGGGAAGCAACGAGGAGGAAGAGAAGGAAGATGAAGAGATGACCGTCGAGGACTGAGCTCTTGGTCGACCTCTTTCTATCTCTACTCCTTTTTCAATTTATTTTAAGACTTGGTTGCCCGGCGGGGTTTTTACGCTTTATGTTTCGGATTTGGTGCCTGGGAAGGCTTTTATCCACAAACTCGTTTGCCCGCGGGGGCTTTTAATGTTTTGGCCTTAGGCGTTTTGCCTTAGGCGCTTTTGCTCAAATTGTTTTGCAACTTTCATTTTAGCTCGCGTATTTTACTTGCCAAAATGTTTTGAGGCTTTTTGACTAAGTGTTTTGGCCGGTCGAGAGACCAGGGCCAAGATGTACTTTAGTCGGAGGTCGAATCGATCCGTTTAGGTTGATTCGAACACTTAGAATATTTTTACTAGTTTTGGCCGATCGTATGTCGAGCTAAACGTAGTTTTAGGTCGAATCGAGTCCGACTCGGGACGATTAGATCGATTCAACACTTAGGCGAATTTTACTAGTTTTGGCTGATCGCGTGGAACGAGCTAAACATAGTTTTAGGTCGAATCAAGTCCAATTCGGGACGATTAGATCGATTCAACACTTAGGCGAATTTTACCGATTTTCGTCGATCGCAATTCGGGACGAGCTAAACGTGGTGTTTATTCTTTTTCGAGCTCTTTGGCGAACTGATGTAGCTCGCGCTTTGCGGAGTTGTTTTCCCGTCTTTCGATCGAGGTGTTTCTTATTCGGCTTTTGGAGATGGAATTTATTACCTTTCGAAGTTCGTCTTGGTTTTGTCGCTTCGCCGATAGTGTTCCGAGCTAATCGTGAACTTTAGGTCCGTCTGGATGGCTCGGCTTCGTGTTAGATTTCGGGCTGTCTCTGGGTCTTCGGTTCTACGATTGCTAGAACACTACGCTGGATGCTTGGACGCTGCGGACTTCGATTGGTTTTTTGCGAAGTAAGAAATTGAAGGTAAAGAGGTGGACTCTGAACCTCACTTCGTTTGAAAGGGGAATATCGAGGTGATCTCGATCTTCCGATCTGTTTTGAGACGAGAGAAAGAGCTCGATTTCTTTTCAGGTCACGCAAGATCAGGCGTTTTCGACGTAAATTGATACGCTTAAGTAATTCGGAATTTTCTTAAGGACTTGCTGAGTCGATTCGAGCAATTCGTAGCGATAAACATAGAAAACATTTTATTTAAGTATAATATTCGAGATGATACAAATCGAGCCCGTTTTAGGGCCGGCCAATGAGGTCGTCTCAAATAAAACGAAGTAAATTCGGATTGGGGCTGGACTCGTGGTTGAGCTGCCTACGTACCCCCAGGGAAGGAGGATCAAGCCTAAACGTAGTTCGAGGGGTGGAGATACTTAGATTAGATCCTTTTAGTGATAGTACCTTTTCAGGTTCATCGCATTCCAAGGTCTTAGTTCAGGTATTCCGAAATTTATAGGTTTTGCAAGGAAGAAACTTAGGGAGATTTAGGGCTAGATTTTGATGTAAGTCGAATGAATCGTAAGCAAGGATTTGGCTAAACGGAATTGTATTAAACGAATGAATTTGGTTACAATGAATTCTCAGAAGAGAGAAAGAACTAAGCTCAAAGGTGAATACAAGGAAAGTATGATAGTAATTAGGTCTAAAGTGATCGGAAGAAGATGTGTGTGTCTCTCCCTTGATCCGACTGCTGTCAAGCTCCTTTTATAGCTCCAGAATCAGCTACGATCCACGTCCGCGTATCTCGCCACGTGCAGCTAACAATCCCGGTGATCTCGGACCAGACCGGATTCGAAGGAGATCTTCTTTGACTTCGTCTTTCGTCGCGATGCCGACCTGGTCCTCGATCGAGCTGGAGCTCGTCTTTCGTCGCGATGCCGACCTGGTCCTCGATCGAGCTGGAGCTCGTCTTTACGTCGACCGGAATAGCTCGGATGGCGGTTAACTTGCCTACGAGGGAGTCGCTTGGTGGGCTCGAGGTCTTCTTGCTGGGCTTAGGTGGGCCTGGACTTCAATTTTGGATCAAGGTAATGGGCCCTTATGGGCTAGATTCCAAGTGTGGAATCTGGGTCCAACAGGGTTGAATTGCAATGTAGTTAGCTGAATAAAAATCACTGTCATTTTGTATGTATACTGATGTCGATTTTTGTTTTTATTTTGCATTGATTGGTCAAGAATTGAAGTACGTTGAAAAGTGAAAACTCATTTAGGAAGCTTTTATTTTACTCTTCTCGTAAATGTCTAAATAGAGCAATTATAGTAAGATTACTTTCAAATCGGTATAAGTTTGATAGAATGCTTTGTTCTTATAGAGAAACCAATAAAATTAACAATTTAGAGATTACTTATATTTCAATCGTTTTTACAACATAAATTATACAGGTTATGGCTGTAGCTGGTAATTTATAGTGGTGGAAACGTGATAGAAATGAATAAGAGGTAAAAAAAAACTATATCGAATCGGTAGAATCAGCAGAATCTTCTAGGAAAACATTTTGTTTTCTTAGAATCAGCATAATCTTCTAAAAAAAGTATATCGAAATTTGTTTGGGTTAATTTGTTGTCTAACCATATTGGGCTTTGAAATTAAGAATATAGCTATTGTACTTTAAAAATTAAGCCACTAACAAAGAGAAATCTTTGCTTTCCCATTTTCTCCCTCAAACTGGGGAATATTTCATAACCTTGTTCGTGAGCAGAAAACTTCACCCCCAAATTTTTTTGTCAACCTCGACATGAACAGATGCATAATTTACATCCACAAATGTACAGTACATTCAGTTTGAAGTCTAGGGTTTTGTATTCAAGGATTAATATAGTTAAAACTAAACCCTAATCAACATTAGTGAATCCAAACAAATAAATGTACAGTACATTCAACTCAACCCAAACTGATAAATACATAGTGATTAGTATTTCATATAACACAAAATGGAATAAAAGTGATAAATCTTACAATTCAAAATGGAATAGAATAGTCAATAGTTAATACATGGAACATGCTCTTACAATTACAAAAGCATAACCGAGAGCTTGACAATGTGAATTCTTATAGTATAGTAATGTTGAATCCTTCTTGCTTAATATGTTGGCATCTTTGTCTCCGATGCACGAGCTTGATCCAAAATGTAGACGTGTTGCAGAGTGTTGAGCTTTTGAATACTCTCGTTCAATATCATATAATATCATAATACACAGCAAAACAATTCATCCAAACAAGATTATGGGGGATTTGATGGGATTGGATAATACATTTTCCTTGTGGCTGCGTCATTACCAAAAAAAAAAATCTATGTCTCACCATATAATTTTCGATCCAATTTCGTCTATCTGGACATTTGGTCCACCAGTTCGATCTCCGAGATGGTGGTGCGCAGCCGTGGCTTTCTGAAGAGTTGTCTACATCGCGAGTATGATGGGTTTCACAATTTCGTCGCGAAATTGATCGAGAAATTAGATCTCACAGATCATAATCGCAATGACTGGCGGCTTAGTTGCGAAATTGAGAGGGATGAAAGACTTACTGTTTAACCAGGAAGTCATAGATGCAATTGGCTGGAGAAGAAAGCTTCTAATGCTAACTGAAGATTTGGCACCGAAAGCTCCATACTCTGCTACTAGAAGAGGTGAACCACATCGCATAAACCAATCCTCCTTCTTGGAAATTTTTTCCTCACTTTCTATCAATCATCGACATCGCCACCCGAATCTCATATTTTCCTCTTCTCAGATTCGCGATTGTTTCAGTTTTCTATTGTTTCCTCAAGATTTCAGTCCCACCTAAACTTTGAACTCTATCACGAAACTGTTTCTCTTTCTTTGGAAGGACTTTTTCGGTAATATTTCATAAAATACGGACTATATTCTAGCTATGACCTCCTTATGGCTATTTTGTTAATATTAGGTTTTTTTATGGTTATCTACTGCTATTTCCCAATTTGTTTTGATGATTTTCCTATTGAAACAAAAAAAGCTTCGCTACTCTATACTCACTTTCCTATCAAAGTTCGTTGCAAAATTGTGTTTCCAATATGAATTAGATCTTAAATACCACTTACCGACAAAAAAAATCAATATCTATCATAGACTCATAGCATAGATTAAACAATCATAGTTTGGGAATTTCATCTCCAAAAACAATATATGACTTAAGTGGTGGTACATGATTACGTACATGAATTTTAAATACTTTACGCGGAGAATTCTAACACATAACTAATGAGTTGTGATATGATTCACGTTACTAGGCCTGCCAAACTCTTTCTAATTGCTGGTATTATTAAGGTTTTGTGTACATTTTTTATATATGTTCAAAGTTGAAACTGTAGTTCTGACTTTAAGAAGTATTTTTTTTAAAAAAATTGGGCAGTCCAACCTCCCTCCTCTGTATAGTGATGTACTAGGTATATACTATATCTATATGTATAGAAGTCTAGAGGGAGATGGTTTGGTGGATTTTACTTGTTAAGAATATGATTTTCTTTTTTTCATCTAGAAGTTTTATTAGAATGAGATTGTTACATGGTATTATACACTTATACACCTTACCAAATTAACAAAGCTAAAGAAGGGAGACAAAGCCGACCAAAGAAATTTTAATTCTCTGGAATAAAGCCGGCAGGACAATAAAATCCTCTTGAACCATAGGCCCTATTAGAGGAGAAATTAGCACATTTTCCTGAGTCTGTCATCATTAGTAAAATCACAAAACTCAATCCGACTTTAGGCCTAACCTTCTCAACAAAATGACAAGATTTGAGGAAGAAGGCGCAATCCATGAGAAAATGTAAACAAACCTTCATGCCGACTGGAAGAAGGGAAGGAAATCAAGAACAAAAGGAAGTTTTCTATATCGCAAAAGAGAAAGTTTTTCATCTCGCCGCAAGGAAAATATCCATCAAGGAGCCGACCTATCAACACTATATATTGTAGACCCCCCATTCGTGAAAAGGCATCCGAGATCATTTAGAATTACTAGGCTTTGCAACCCCTTTACTTCCATCTCAGTTTTCCTCTTGTTCATCATAGTTCATCTCGCCAAGCTTGTCGGCGAGATAACATCTTTTATAATCTTCCTGATATTCATCAAGTTAAATCAAGCTTCCAGTTTCCTAAACTCACATCTTTGGTAACCCGTTTTAACGAGAGCTATCTCAGATCTAACAATTGGCGCCCACCATGGGGCTAGAAACGCTTCTCGCTATTCATCTCAAAGGTATCTAGATTTTTGCGAAAACGCAACAATGGTGGACTCAAGAGAGAATACCCATACCGGGAGTCCATCCCGCTCAGAAAGGAGCCCAAGTACCATCCATCGCCACCAACGATAGATAAGTCACTACCCACCGAAGACACGGACAAATCCGTCCCTCCAAGGAGCCGATCTACCTCGCCGTGAAGATCATTTCGCCGCGACAATCGCCATAACCGAGGAATGAAGAAAGCCCTCCTCCGTCACCGCAGCTCGAAGAAATCCTCTTCGAACGACAAGCTCCGCAAACTCATGGAGAATTTCGTTAAGCCACTGGCCGACGATTTCGAGGCAATGCAAGCATAGCAGAAAAAGACCCAGGAACAAGACAAGGTCTTGGCACGAGAAGACGACGAGGAACCGTTGGATCCCGCTGCCGCAACGGCCAACGGGACCACAACTCGCCCCGCACGTTTCGGCCGACGAGCGGCTCAAGAACTCGAACGAATGAACCTTCGTATCGACGAGGTCGATTCTAAGGTCCATCGTGCCACCAGCTCAGCCCCAGAGTTGACGAAAGCACTCGCCGATACCCGGAGGAGCCCACTCACTCGCAGGCTCCGCCAAATCGATCTGCACGAAAGAGTCCAACTCAAAATCGACTCTTACACCGGAGAAGAAGATCCCGTGAAATGGCTGACCGCATTCAACCTCGCCATGACAAGGGAGAAATACAAATCCTATGACGAGAAATAGGCCAATTACTGTCAGGTATTCGTCGAGCACATGGTGAAAGATGCCTTGACTTGGTTCTCCAACCTCCCTCCCAAGTCGACCAACAACTTCGACGACTTAACTAATGCTTTCCTAAAGCATTACTCCATGCACATGACCCGAGTCACGACTTAACTAATGATTTCCTAAAGCAGCTCGCGACACCAGCGACATGCCCGATAGCGTCCCATTTGAAGCTCTCCGTAACGGCCTCTGGTACGACTCCAAGTTCAAGGAAGATTTGTCGCTAAAACCTCCCACGACTTTGAAGGACTCGTTCCACCGTTCCCGAAGCTATATCTTCCTTGAGGAAGACAAGCGCTTCTATGCCGAGAAACACAGAGATAGGAAGACAGCCTCGTCTAAACCCAGAGAAGAAGCTGTGGAGGTACGAAGAAGACACGACCCCAAAAGGTTGCTCCTTACAGCGTTCGCAGCACCTGACGACGAGTCCGAGCAAGAATATACCGCAGCGATCTCAACCCCACATGATGCTACTCCACTCGGAGATGACAACGACGCCAAAGCCTTCTGCAAATTCCACGGAAGAACCGGCCACGCCACTGAAAACTGAAAACACCTCATCAGCAACCTCATCCGCATGAACCATCGAGGAGAAATTCCGCCGATGGACGGCGACAGATTCCAAGGGAAAGGCTTCCCGCCGAGACCACCCAAACCGGGACAGCAAGAGAAGCGAGGACGACAATCCCGCTCGAAGAAAGATACTGGGAAACCCGATGCACCATCCGAAAAGAGGAACCGTGACGACCACGACGATCTGCCGCCACCGTCGAAACGACAGGTCAGCATGATCATGGGATGCCTCCTGGACGGTGACGACTCTATATCAGCGATCAAGGAATACGAGCAAAAGGCCGTCACGGTAGAGCGCTATCCATATATCCATAAAGGAAACCCCACCATCTTCTTTACGGATAAGGATGCGGGCGGACTGGATACCCCTCATCTCGACCCACTCGTGGTCACTCTGCAAATCAACGACTGCGACGTCGCAAAAATTTTGGCCGACATCGGGAGCACGGTGAACCTCATCTTCAAAGAGACACTGGACCGCATGGGATTGGAAGAGAGTTCCATCAAATCCACATCCCGTCTCCTCACCGGCTTCACCGCAGAGCACGTCTACAGCTGCGGCACAGTCCGGCTTCCCGTCTTTGTCAGCGGAATCTCGAAGCTTATGAAGTTCATCGTCATGGACAAGCCGGCCATCTACAATGCGATCCTTGGCACGCCCTGGCTCCACGAAATGAAGGCCGTCATCTCGACTTTCCACCAATGCGTAAAGTTCCCGACACCTTATGGAATTTTTACTTTACGTGGGAATCAAAGAGTGATGAGATCATGCTTCCTTCACAGACGCAAGCTCCGCACCGCGTCATCTTTCATGGTGATCGAGCCCTCAAACCAACCGCCTCGCGAAGAACCCGAGCCAACATCTGACAATGAGATCAACAGGTCCAACACAATGAGACGCGCTACCATCGCGCGAGAGGAAATCCTGCCGATTCCTCCGAGAAGAGCTGGCGCCGTACCTACCTGGAAATCCGACTTGAGGTTCAGCGTGAGCACTAAGAAACCCAAGAAGCTCCTCGACCTGTTCGAGATGGAACAACTAGAAGACGAGCCCTTACGAAGTTACCTCAATAGATTCAAGAGCACGCTTGTAAAGCCCCAACCAGGCTTACTTGGCCAAAGTATCAAGTTGTCTCATAAAAACCTTTTAAAAACATTTCCCTTGAGCCATCGGTCTCGCGCACTAAACTTAACACACCTGCACACACTGAAAAGGGGAAAAAGGAGGGGTGAGTAATGAATTACTCAGTGAGGAGATCATATCCGACAACTGAAAAACATAATAAACATTTCTAATATTATACCACAATCAACAAAACATATAAACCTAGACACTCATCAATCATATACCCTTGCTATAATGCAAGGTAACCATTCATCCTTAGGTTCAGTCATCCTCGTGATAACTCATAACCTCATGCTTGGAGGCAGCCGTAGCTCATACACTCCCATACCGGGCTCGTCAACCGTTCATGACCTGCATGTAACCCGTCGGCCCATCACAGTCCAGTTTCGAGGGAAGACCACGGCCCGTAGCTCGATTATTCCTCTCTTATTCATACATACATACCATAACATATCATACCATATCATATCATACACACCATGCAATCATATTATCATATCAGGTTATATTGTACCATATTATACTCATTCATATTTCATATCAATATTATCATAGAGCATATCATTATAGAACTTAACTCTAGCAAACAAATCTAAGCTTACATGCCATGAATCATGTAACATAACAAGAGAAATATAAAGTATGCTTCCACAGATCACACCCTCACCTTAGCCACTTCATGTCGAAGGCAAAACACATTTCCTCCTTTCTTCTCCTTTGGGCAGATTCTCTGTCTCAGCTTTAACATCATGTTTCTCCATGCTTCTTAACTCCAAACCGGTTCTACTTCTAATGGGACGTAGATACTTGAGTCTAGTAAGCTCATGCCATGAATGAGCTAAATCCGAGCTCATATGCCCAACCAAACATTACAAATCGTCAGAAATATCACACTGCTTCTCACTGTGCCAAACAGGTTCGGAAAGACACTCATAAATAACAAAATGACCGTTCGCTTCTCCATCCCACCGTTGATTATGAACTTGAATATAACACCATGCCAGATACTAAATATCAGAAAGATCGGACTTCATTTAGGCTTCCAAACGATCACTTCAAAACGCTGCAGCGAAACTGTTTTTCTGGACATCTCAGACTTGGATGATTTCCGGCCAACTTGGATTGCGATTTGCAGATGCGCTATGACTCCGATTAATGAACCGTTTTCTTATGTGGATTCTGCGAAATGTTATCTTTCCATATACATCGCAATCGTGTTCTAAATCATTTTCCTCCGGTCGGACTCGTCCTCCAAAGTATGATTCACACACTGCTTTCCTGAGAACAAATTGCAGGTTTCTCAGCAATTATAATGCACCTCTGGTGGAACTAGGTTTCCGACTTGACTTATGTGGACTCTTGGGTTGATTGAGAACATGAATAAACCATCTGTACGCCAAACGGACATCTCGTGTGCCGACAGTAAGCCTCCAAAGTCACCTCATCAACTCTGCTTTACTTTGTTTGCTCTCTTTTTCTTCTTCTCTTTAACGCCATGATCCAGATCATCCGTTTTCTATGCTTTTCCTTTGTGGTGGTGTTCTCCTTGGTTCCTCCATACCATCTACCCTCCACTCTGATCTCTTCTTAGCTACCCTCCACTCTGATCTCTCCTTTCTCCTTGCAACACAATAACCACACATAACATCACAAGGTCAACAACGTCAACGATGGCTAGCGACAACACTAAGTCACCAACAATGGACTCTTTTCTTTCTCTCTCCATCGAAGGTGGCGGCTTGAGATTTCATGAGATAGGGTTTTTACCAAGTCCTTTTGAAGAGATCATATTATTATTTTCTTGAATATTCATCAACATGTTACCGAATATTAACGTTCAAAATGGGTTTAGACTTCACAAATTAAACTATTGAAACTGGGCCCATATAATGGATTTGGGGTGTTACAACGCTGCTCGACCTCGATGAGATCCCCGGAGCACCCCAGATCTCAGAGGCAGTATTTATCCAAGCCCTCGGGAACGGACTCTGGTACCGATCCAGATTTCAGAAAGATGATCGCGGGATCAGGTCTTCCCTTTTCCTATCCCTGATTCTGCAAGTGCACAGGTCAGAAGTAGTAAACGGGTATCGAACACGAGGACCAGATTGCACACTACAAACTATGAGATTGAGATCGAGCTAGGGCAAACAGTATGAGATTGGTTGAGTGCAATCAAAGTAAAGGCATGCAAGTAATTAAAGAGATTGAAATCAATAGGAGATGAGGGCTAAGCAATAGGATAGTCTTAAGATAAGCAATTCATGAAGCAAGGATCAATCAATTAGGGTTATTGCAATTAGGTGCCATCTAGAACTCGAAACACTATGGTATGATCTTTCCACTTTGTGGCTCCGACCCCTTTGTTAACCTCCCTAGTCGCTAAACTTTTGGTATGTCCCTAGGTGATTAAATCAAGCATTAGTTCGATTAAGTTCAATTGTTCACAACCTACAAGTAAATCAACTTTCGCAGTCTAAAAGAGGTTGCCCACCAAATACTAGTTCAGGCGAATGATACAACACTTTCGAGGCTCAAATCAACCTTAGATCATATGCTAATTGGCCAGATTAACAACAAGCATTAAGTATAAGCAAAGATGAAGATTATAAGTAAAACCCTAATTCATGTGATCGATCATCAAGCATACATGAATGCCATCCTTTGACTTCCTATCACTTAACAAGTAAACTACTCAGACATAGAGAAGGAAAACGAATTCATATTCATAAGAACAGAGATTCGAATCCTCTCTAGAAAGAGAACAAGCAAGAACAAAGTAAAAGCAAGCAAAACTTTATTAAAGATGTAAAGTAAATCGTGGTCTCTCTCCTTCTTGAGTTACAAGGCTAAAAAGAAGTATTTATAATGCTCTAAGTATAGGAAAGCGGCTAGACCTAAGTCTAGTAAGTCGGTGCCGGTATTGGGCTTGAAACGTGTGAAACGGGCTTCAGAAACGGCTTCGGGTCGACCGACCGTTCGGACATTCGGTCGGGACGTTCGGCCGGTTGTCGAGTCGTGGCTATCGGCACGGTCGGGTCGATCGTGGCCGAGAGTTTTCGCGTTCGTTCGTCGGGTTCGGCCGACGGATGATTTTGGTCGAAGAATTTGGCCGGACGTGGACAAGGCCTTCCTGGTCGGACGGCGCGATCGGCCGCGGTACGTGAGTTGTGCCGCGCGGCCGCGAGGCGTTGCCTTCCTGTTCGCGCGGTACAGTCGTGCGCAGCTTCGGGCGTGTGATTCTGGTTTGGCCGACCGCGGGACGATGCTTCCCGGATCGGTACGTGGGCTCGGCCTATGTTGAGCACGGGATGGACAAGCGTTCGGATGTTGGCCGACCGCGGGACAGATGTTCATCGGCCGGCTGTTGCGCTCGTTCGGCCGCGGTTTCTCGATAGAGCCGCCTGGACAGTCTTTGCTATTTTGACATAACTAGTTTTCTACTCATCCAAATGATGCCAATACAATTGCGTTGGAAAGTTAACTCACTCAGAGCACGCGGGGAACTGGTCTTGATGAAATCCATTGAGTAGATCTTTTTTAGCTCCTCCCAAAGTAGAAGTGTGACAGTGGACTGGTTTGAAGTCCAAATCCTCTGTTTTGCTCCATAATGCACCTTTTGACCTAAAATGACTCTTTGCAGTATAAATCCATAAAAACTACCTTTTAAGACAAGAATCCACTAGAAAACCATTAGAAAACCATAGTAAAATAGTATAAAAAGCATGTAAAATAGAGGTATATCAGAAGACTTCTACCTCCGCCCCTTCCCGACCTTGAAAGAAGTCTTCCTCCGTGCCGAACAGTATTTTCGCCTTGAGCAGGATATCCCGCAACGAAGATTCGAACCGAAAGATCCCAAGTTCCAGCTACAAAACAAAAGAAGATCGTCTTCCCGCCACCTAGAGGAATCCACTCCCTAAGCACCAAGACGCCACCCCTCGTCTCACCGAGAAGTCATCCACGTCGACGACGACGACACCGAAGAAAACGCAAGGTATCACGCAACTACTCAACACCAAGGCACTCCGCAATGCGCGTTCTCAGATCAGAAGATATTCGAAATCATTGCTGACATTCGGAGAACTCACCTGACGAGCCGCCTCTCCGTAGTACCACTGAAGAAGCGTATCTCGCTGCACCTAAGCTTCTACGACGGCCGAGACGATCCCAAGCAATGAATTTCATCCTTCATGATAGCCATGAGATGACAGAGATACGCATCGCCGGAAGAGGAAAGCGCACACCTTTGCAAAGCTCTCGCCGAGCACCTGCGTGGTGAAGCCCTGACATGGTTCGACAGCCTCCGGGTCGACTCCATCGACAGCTTCGACGATTTGGCAGTCGCTTTTCTAAAGCAACACCTCCGCTTCGCACTCGACGACCTCATCTTGCGCAAATCCGACGAAGACAGGATCGACCATCTCGGCAAATTTGGCTTCAGCTGGGAAGGACCATACCGCATCGCACAAATCATCAAGCCAGGAGTCTACTAGCTTGAAGACAACCTAGGCAGCACGTCCGAACGCCTCTGGAGCTCAACGGACCTGCGCAAGTTTCATGACTAGACGCAAAGCACCGCACTATAGTCAAATGACATGAACATTTGTAACGAACTACGAATGGCTTGATCCCGGCACGGGTACGTTGGCCGCCTTTTTCACTAAGGGCGCAACTATGATACTCAATAAAATAAAAAGCTTTTATTTGAAGTCCTTTCCAACTCGACAAGCGCGTCTCATCACGGCATAAGCGGAAACTTGTCGATATAAAGCACGCACCCGTTTGACGTCAAACCAAAACTCGAGGCAAACTCGATAAGCACTCGCACTTTGCACCCTAAAAAGACATGGACTGATCACCCATTCATTAAGACGAGAGCACGCACCTCGCACGGCTCTTAGTTCGTCGGACGAGCGAAAATCGCTACCTCGACACCCGTATGAAGCTTTGAAGTCGGAAGCATAAATCGAGTTTCTAGAGCTCGTCGCTGAAGTTAGGCCTAAAACGCCAAGCATACATACCTAATACGCACCGGTCGGTGTCTCGAATGAAAAGTCATGACAAACCGCGAAAGCATCGCGTCTCGTCATGACGCATCAGCACCATCACGCGCATCAAGTCGTGATACACTTAAAGGTAACGAGTCATCCCGAGGAACGAACTTTCTTTTGATGATGATCGAGTACTTAGTTTAAATCATTCGGTCGATGGCATTTCGTCCGTTATTAAAAAGACAATTATATATAATTTTATTGCGCTGTGAATTAATCAATTATGTTTAAGTCGTGATAACACTATCACGCATGCATGCAAGCAAAATAAAATCATACTTAAAAACATAATAAGTATCTAGCATAAATCCAGAACACAAATCCTGAGCATACGGATAAAAACCCTCCCGGGCAATGTTATTACAACAATAAAAGACCGCAACCACATCAGTCTTAAAATAAAGAGAAAGGGGCCTAAACAGACTTGGCCCCGAGAGCAGAAGGCCCCGCACCCGAACCAGCACCATCATTATTTCGACGAGACGGAGATCCCGGCAGCACCAGTATAGAAACACTGCAAATATCATCACATGTTAATAAACACATCGCAGAAGACAAGAAATAGCAAGCAAGCAAATCTCACCTGCTAGGCTTCGCGAAATCGTCATCAGTAATGACGACCTCATCGATTGCATCTCCATCCACGACGCTCTTCGCCAGCTTGGCCCCAAGTCTCTCCTCTACCGCGTTGAAATCCAGGTCCACTCTCCAGATCTTCTTCACAAAATCGAGAAGAGCCTCGTCGACCTGCCTCCTCACTACAGCTGCCTCGACTGCATCCCGTTGGGCGAAGAATTCCGAGAGACGGCAAAGGCGAGGAGCGTACAAATCACTCACCGAGTCATAGACTTGAGTAGCAGCTACTTCAGCCCATTCCTGACGTGACCGACGAAGACATTCCGCTTTAGCAACAGCGGCTTCAACACCCCGGCGAACCTTCTCCGTGAGATCAGCATGTTGAGCTCTCAACTGGTCCGCTATATCTTGAAGACTGAGAGTCTTCATTATCTCCTTATTCAGCACTCCAACTTTTTCCTCGAAAGCAAGTTTCTCAAGCTTCAAATCAGCCACCACCGCATTGATATCCTCGGCCTTCTCATCCTCCCGCCGCAACCTTAAGACTTCCTCCTTAGCTGCTCGGAGAGGCGTCTCGAACTTCTGAATCAGTGCGGCAAACTTCCCACTAGACTTGACGTGGTATTGAGATGCCTCATCAAAGTCACCCCTGAAAGCGAGCCCTTCGCGAGGAATCCCTCGGCCCGGATGGACCTTGGATACCCAAACCGATCCTACACAAGCATCCTGATCCTCCATGAGAGGAACATCACCATGCCACCGCGTCTCCACCGCATGAGGATTACAGCTCCGAGACTCGACCTTTGGTTCTTCGGGACCATCCTCGGCATTAGGTTTCGGTACAGAACCACCCATCTCTGAGCGATGAGACATCTCCTCATGACCATCAGGACGCTGAGACGACCCACCTTCTCCGAGGCTATTGTGGTCGAAGAAGGAAGCATCATCATGAGGAGTAAGAAACTCCTCTCTCGTCCGAGTAGGCGAAACGCCGCCGCGAGGAGGGTACCCCAGACCGCCATCTTGACGCGATGCATCCACGTTTCGGCGAGATGCGTCTCCCTCTTGTTCCACGGCAGGAGGAGAAACGACGTCAATTGCACCCTCTGGAACCTTCTCGGCCGTAGAACACGAGGCCGCTCTCGCATGTCTAGCTCTGGACGAAGTCCTGTGGATGTCAGTATTCAGCATTAATTCTATTAAACTTACTTTGTCTGAGACGCGATGGAAGAACTTGGAAGAGGAAGAGAAAGGGAGTCTTTCGGCTTTGGAGACTCGGGCGCCAGTTTCGAAGCAACGACGGAGTCGTCAACGTACACGGGCGCTCTCTTCTTAAGTCCCATTGGTTTCATCTTGGAACGGGGCGGTTTAACTGCGGCTTGGTAAAACCAAAAATTAGTCATCAATGATGAGATCAAAATTACGAGAGAACAAGTGAAACGCTTACCGGATAGCGGAGTCGCGGAGACAGCAGGCTTGCTTTTCCTTTCTTTCTTCTCCTTCTTTTCTTTCTTCTTTCTCTCGAGCTCCTCCACGACCTCAGGCCAAATCTGGTGACTGAGCTCCCTCAAAGCTTTGAACTTGCCTTTAAGAGCGCTACTCGGCCTCGCCCGCCTCAACGGCTCTGCAACAAGACATAAAAATCAGAAAAATATCTCGATAAGCATAACGAGATAACAATTCTACCAATATTCTACCCGGCGAAGTGATCCAATCAGTTTTGATTTGGTCAGGTTTGAAGTTCCCGACCTAGGCCTTGCTTATCTTTACAAAACAAGAAATAGTGCTTCCAGTGATGAATCTTATCCCGGTAGTCACCAAATACGATCCTATGTCTCATCGCGGTGTGGAAACGCTTAAAGTTCCCCTCCCATTTGGATCCGGCGCGAAGATCCGTGACATTCTCCAAAAGGTGACGATCAAACATGATGTTTGCGGCAGCGGCTAAGGCTTCCGTGAAGACCATTTGATGAAAAACGCCGTGAGTAAGTTGGCTCACGCCAACGCCCCACTCGGTGGCGAACTTCAATAATAAGAAAGGCAAAGGAAATTTCATCCCAAACTCGGTGAAAAAGCACTCGTAAACGCACATTCATCCCGGCGGAGCGTCATAAGGCCTTTCGTGTTCCTTCGGAATCCGAAACTCGATACGACCCGAGAAGCCGACTCTCTTCACGAGCGCCAAGAGAATTTCGGGAGTCATCCACGTCCTGCCATCCGTTATGCGTGGTGCCTTGGACTTGGCATGCTCCGGCATCTTGATCATCTCGGGGATACCTTTCAGACGAGCACGATTTGGAGTCGAAGCCCCTTCATCGTCGCGTTCCGAATCAGCATCAGAGTCATCTGATGGAATTCCATCGCGATACCATTTATCGGAACTGGTCTCTCTGTCGGAATCACGATCTGCCTCTGCCTTCTTTTTCTCCTCCGCTGCCTCTCGACGGTCGGCTTCAGCGGTAACTCTCTCCGCCTCTTCCATCTATGCCCTTTCGACTATTCTTTCGGCCTCGGCAGCAGCCACTGCTTCGTCCACCACCGCCCTCCTTCGGCGCTCAGCCGCATCTGCTTGGATCGCTCCGCCGAGGAGCCCTCTGGACGAGTGGAGGACCGCATCTGACGCGCGATCGAAGCGATCGTCTCATCGCCGTCATCAATGGCAATACTTTTGCCCTTCCTATCCTTTGGATTCATCTCGATTGCACGAAGAATTGGAGAAATTAGAAGATCGAAACGAGAAAATTCGACGGAGCAAAAACCCTAGAATCTGAAGGTGAAATTGGCGAAAGGGAAGACGGAATCAGAGCGCAATCTAACTAGATTCGAGCAATTCGTAACTTCCTAACACTAAATTCCGCAAAATCAACTCGATAATTCGGTCTGGAATAGATTTGAAGTCGAAAAGAGGAAGTTACCTTTAAATGGTCGGGACGGTTGAGTGAGAAGAAAAAAAAGAGTAAATGGAGAAAAGAAATTTGAACGGTCGCCTAAAAGAGGCCGCGCGAATTCCAAGGGAAAAACTTCCCTTGGATTTCTTTATTTGTTTATTTTCCCGCTCAGGATATTTTTAATGGGTCTGGGTCTCTTCGCAAATAAACTGATTATCGGGCCTGACCCGCGTGACTTTAAAAATATACCCGTCTAAGCATGACGTGGCAATTCCGTCCATACATGGACAAAATTTGAACTCATCGCGGCATGCGAAGATAAATTCCCTAACTTCAACGAGAAAGCATTCTCGGTCTCGGCAAGGACCGTTCGAAGCACATCATTTTATGAATTAGATGACGTCAACGTACTCTTTTTTCCTTCTTATTGTTTTTGTCCCAATTGGGTTTTTCCGTACCAAGGTTTTAATGAGGCGGCACGAATCTACATTCAGCAAGCACTTAGGTACTAAAATCGGACTGGTGTGGCGCATATTTTATTAATGATTCTTAAGCTCCCTCTTTGTTCATGAAACTCGCCGAGATCAATTTGCATTTGACTTGCCGAGCTGGGGGGGACTTATTGTTAGAGGAGAAATTAACACATTTCCCTGAGCCCGTCATCATTAGTAAAATCACAAAGTCCAATCCGACTTTAGGCCTAACATTCTCAATAAAATGGCAAGACTTGAGAAGGAAGGCACAATCCATGAGAACATGTAAACAAACTCTCATGCCGACTCGAAGAATAGAAGGAAATCAAGAGTAAGAGGAAGTTTTCCATATCGCAAAAGAGGAAGTTTTCCATCCCGCCGATGGAAGAATATTCACCAAGAAGCCAACCTATCAACACTATATATTGAAGACCCCCCGTTCGTGAAAAGGCATCCGAGATCATCTAGAATTACTAGGCTTTGCACCCCCTTACTTTCATCTCAGTTTTTCCTCTTGTTCATCATAGTTCATCTCGCCAAGCTTGTCGGCGAGATAACACCTTTTGTAACCTTCCTGATATTCTTCGAGTTAAATCAAGCTTCTAGTTTCCTAAACTCACATCTTTGGTAACCTGTTTTAACGAATGCTATCTCAGATCTAACAGACCCAACATAGAAAGACAACACAAAACAAACCATAGCAAAATAAATTTGCATAAATCTCAAATCCTAAAACACTAAATCTAAAATAGAGAAGAAGACAAGCTTCTAAACATTTGTCCTCGCTTAGAAACACTAGACTTCAGAAATTGAAAGACGAAAGCATCAAAGACCAACAAGG